CTGAAGCGAGGCTCAAAACGTGTTGAGCGCTTTGCATCGCTTAATGTGCATTCCAATCTCGTCATCAAGGTTCTAAGGCATACTTTTCATTGCCAATGAGCCTCTTCTGAACAAGCGACACTAAACAATTGATATTTCACTTCATAGTGGTTTTTTGTCCAATTTCTTTGTTCATTTATTTGTTATTCATGCTTATAATTATAAGTCTTAGACTAACCATATATATTTATGTTTGTTCTCTCTTTGCGCCTTTTTTCACTAAATCCCGCACTTTATTTGTGCTTTGCGCTTAATGGTCCAATGGACCTTGGAGTTTTTTTGTGCTTTTTGCTTTTGATAACACAGATTAAGGAAAGGAAGTAACCCTTGAATCTTTATGCCCTGCTCTCCTCTTTTTATCAGAACTAAAATATACTTAGATTTATAACCCCAACACTTCAATGCACCGCAAAAAAAACCCGCTAAGAAACGCTTGTCACACAATGTTAAGACTCAAAGAGTACAGCATACACATCTACGCTGGCTATGTCTAAAAAACATGAGTCAACCTCAAAAAGTTAGTAAAGCCCCCAAGGCCTAGCTCAAGTGGCAGAAGGTGGAGGATTTGTGGCTTAGGTCGCAGGTTCAAGCCCCACACCATGCAAAGCGAAGCCCGGTATTTAAGTGGAGAAGGGTAGAGGGGCGGGCCCATTATCCACCAAGTTTAGAAGGCTGTGATCGGGCCCCAAATGGATTTCTCGGTTATCAAAAATTTAAAAAAAAAAGTTAGTAAAAATTATTATGTGAGGCAACCTCATAACTGTAACTTTTTCTACCATTGTCAACCTTAGGAACAAGTACTAACAGTTAGTATGACTATCACGATAACAAAGGGTGTCAATCTACTGCTATAGCTCACTTACTTTATGAATAAGTAAAAGAACGATGCAGCCTGTTAAACTTGCTATCATAAAGGAACAATACCGCCTGTTAAACTTCTTACAGAAACGTAATAAAGAAGATAATTAAGGTCAAGATATTGGACCCTAGACAAGTATGGTGTCCTACTCCAACAGATATTACTCTTGGGAAACTTTCAATTTCCTGTCCTCTTTTTTATTTTTTGGAACACCTTCAATTTCCGGTCCTCTGTTTTATTTTTTTGGAACGCCTTCAATTTTCCATCCTCTTAATCAAAAGAAGAACACAACGTGGTGGAATTTAAGACAGGTGGTGTTTAAAATTTTCGACAATTTCTTCTTTTTTTCTCATTACTTGGCAAGTCACTTTCCAATTAGTTAAGACAAAGCTACAATGATAAGAACAAAATACTAAAGATACATCTAGCAGAAATCTCCTTAAAAACAAGAAAAAAAGAGGATCTGCACCTTTCGAAAGTGAAGAGGCACAACTTCTTTACTTCCAGAGAACTTAGCTGGGGTGACTTTACAACAATCTGCTCGATGTATGTCATCCACCTGTCCAGGCAAAGGATTAAATTAGGTTCAGACTGTCACCCAACTATCTGCAATATGAACCTCATGTCTTGGAAATCTCAATATGCAGAGAGCAAATAGTACACTACTTTAACCACAAGCCTTGTAGCTCGGCCAGTATAACCCAAGGTTACATATTCCCCATCCTCCTCCTCTTAGCCCCTTGAGTAGCGCAATAATTTACAAAATAGCTGGTCAAGATTCAAATTATGAAATAGGAATCCTAAATTGGTATTGAAGTAACTAGAAAATGTTCTATCTATAAATGAAAAAAAAAAATCTGTTCATACAGAAGGGAGGAGACTGGGATTACAAATCTTCTTTGCATGACTGCATTGGGACCCTCTCAAATCTCATTTCGAATTCTAAACATGTAGGATGACATAAATAGGTATAATCATAACAATTTCATATCCTGAACTCCATAATTGTATAATACTTTACTTAATCCCCAAGCTATTGATCCCCCTCCCATGAGGATAAAGCTGACAAAATTTGGCAATCAAGTAAAAATAAGTTGAGCAAACACATGAGTCACTACAAACTCTTCTTTGGCATATTTCTTACCATTGATGAGGTATCTGAATGAAGATATAAGAACAAAAGGTACTATTAAATTAAGCATGCCTGTTTCTTCAACTTCAATTCTTTTATACTTCATATAAAAGAAGTTCAGGAGAAAGGCAGCCTATCCACTTCAAGTGATACATAGAGATGGTACAATCAAATGGAAACTGAAGTATGGGTGGGTCCAACATTGAGGTCAAAGGCATATGCCAAGAGAAAGGGATAGTAGCATAAATATCCAAACATAGAAGTACTACATATGCAGATTTAAATAGATCCATGTTCGTCTCATGCAGGCTAATTTACTATGTCATTTTGTATTTAGGTCAAGTTTCAACCTTAATATATCTACTTGTTAAACAATTTACTAGAGTTTTAACTGCTCTAGCTAAAGTTGATTCCTACCTTTCAACAAGTCTTCTCCCCCACACCCCATAGCCCTCATCCCCACCACCCCTGCCTCCCCACATCCCACAGTATTTGTCTACATTTACCACCCCTGCCTACCCACATTCCACGGTATTTATCAACATTATATATACTTTAAGGATAGGAGTAATATTCTTTTCAAGAAACTAACTTATTTTCCAAGAAAACATCTTCATTCATACCAAATACACCCTAAATCTGTACCACTAGCATTCCCCAAGCTTTCTTAGCAAAACCCACTACAAAGATCATCTCCGAAATTTCACATTGAAACAGACAAAACAAATACTAAGTTAAAAAAATAACAATCCGACAATCTAATTAACTTATTTACAAACCTTGGAATACTGAACAAAACGCTTGAAATCAACGGACCAAACAGTGAACAAGAAGACCAGAGAATGAAAGGCAACGAGGGCACCAAGAACTATGAAAGCATCCGTAATATCTAAGCTAGGTACTACAGTTAGAAGCCAAACACCATATAGAATAACGAAGGGCCAAACATCCAAACGCCATGACCAGTGTCTCTTCTTGAGTAAATCCACACTCTCCACCACTTTCCCACCCACTTGAAATCGCGTCATCTCTCAATTCTCTCCAATGCGCCGCCGCTGCCGCTGTCGCCGTCGCCGTCCCGCCGATTGATACGATCTTAACGAACAGTTGAAAATTCCGATCTAGTTGAATGAGATTGGGGGAGAAAGAGAGGAGACGGGGTTTCAGTGATGCGTTATAGACTTCTATATAAAAGGAGAAAAAGCAAACGAGGAATTGGAATCTTGAAAAGGAAGTAGAGATTTTATTTTACTAGATTTTTCAGTTTCAAAGCTTATATATTATGTTCAAATAAAAAGGAAAAATTGTACAAAACCTAAGCACTTATTAAAAAAAAAATCAATTATTATATGTATTTTATATTATTAAATAAAAAATAACTTAAGACATACATAAAAAAAAATATATGATAATTTATCATCATCAAAATTATATATAGTGAACAAACTTTCATTATTTATGATATCAAAAATCAAAATTGCATTGATATTTGTAAAAAAAAATACACTTTAAATAATAAGATATAGGATATGAGCATCAAAATATAATACAATCACTTACAATAAACAAACATAACAAAAAGGATAATGGGTAAAGCAGAAGATGACAAACTGAAAAGTGTGATGGAAGAAACTTGAAAAGTGAAAAGTGTGATGGTTTAGTGGTTTGAGCTTGGGACTTTCATGTTGGAGGTCTCAAGTTCGAAACCCCTTGCCAGCGAAAGCAAGGGGTTTTTCTTCTGGGTCGAGCTCGTCGCACCAGGCTTGCCTAGTGCGGTTTACCTCTCCTATGTGATTTGCGAGCTATTGCATAGGAGCGAGGGTTTTACCCTGTGCACACCCAAAAGGTAGCAGATGCGGGTTTCCCTTGTCATCAAAAAAAAAAAGTGTGATGGAAGAAAATTGAAGACGGACAACACAGGATAGCAAACAAGTAAAGATTTATTGGTATAACTTTAATTGACTTTTAAGTTTTAAATATTAAGATAATAATTGGATGACGATTGCCTGAGAAAAATAATAAATGACAAATTTCATCTATTGTATAGCCGAAGAACAAAAGGTTCAATAACATTTTTAAAGGCTTTTATGCTTAGTGTAAGTATCTTGTATGTGTCTCTCCTCCCGTATTAATGAGAACAATTTCTTTCTTAAAATAACATAAATAATATTTAAAATATGTATATGTGTAACAATATAAGAATTCAAAAAGAAAAAAATAGAAGTTTCAAATTGAAGAATGATCATGTGAAAGAATTTGATTAAATTTAATGATTTTTTTTTTAAAAAAAAGAATAACTCTCTTTTTAATTAGATAATCCTTTATATTTATCAATAACTTTCATTTAGATAATTGAAATATTATATTTTTTTCCATTTCCTATATTAGCTTTCATGCGCCAATGTAGAACGCAACTTGTCTCAAACATATTTCCCCTTGCTCACTATTATCTTGATAATTGTCCTCAACCTGGATTGCAAATGAATTAAGAGAAAGTTAATATATTTTATCGTTCGCCAATAATAATTGCAACCTCTAGCCAATTAACTTGGTATATAAGTATTATTTTAATGAGCAGCCATACATTTTAAAAATTCATGAAGTTAATTATTTTTCATACTATTGGATTATTCTTCATTTTAACTAACTATTGGCTCAAGCACCAATCAAAGATAGCCTATTCACAAGAAACAACTGGGAATGGGATAGATAAGAATATTTCATGAGATTAGCGTATCTTATTTTCTATATAGGATAGCTAATGTCACCATTCTAATACAAGATGTCTTCGAGACTAATTCATGAGATTAGCTTATCTTATTTTCTATATAGGATAGCTAATGTCACCATTCTAATACAAGATGTCTTCGAGACTAATTAGTACCCGTAAACCAAATGCGGGATAAAATAAGTGTGCATTATCCCACTAACCAAACAATCCCCCTTAGAATATACTTCACAACTCCTTGATGCACTTCATATGCCCCACTTCATACTCCTCTCCTTGTCCATTCTCTTTTCTAACCCTTTTAGGAATGGAGAACAAAGAGAAAGTGGGAAGTTTGCCCTTCAGAATAGGTATTGTGTTCTTTTAGTTAGCAAGTTTTCTTTCAAAAATTTCCAACAGTTCTGCCCTTATCATTTCTAATCTATGTTTAGTTACCACCCAACGTCGTAGACAGATTTTGCATGGAGACAATAATGGATATATGAGAAAAAAACACCTCGTGAGTTGCAGCAAATTTACAACGAGGTGTTCAAGACCCAAAGGCACAACTTTATTACAATGTTGTTGACAAAGATTCTTACTTGTTATACAAACGAAACTCATGGAAAAAATTGATATTGCAGATCATCTCAAATATATGCACATGACATTCCCGCAGTTGCAAATGATATACTTTAAGATTCCGATGGAACGCCCTCCCCCTTATTAGCTGACAAGAGCGAATAGTTTTCCACAACAGTGACAAGAATCATCATTCTTTCTGAACTTGATGATAAAGGTTGTTCTGATGCATTTGAATCATCTGTCCCCTTAAACTCCATTCTGTCACCTCTGAGATATATGTCTTCATTAATAAATCCCCACATTCCTCGACAAGAGCTTTCTCTCCACCACTCACCCTAGCTAGTTCAGAAATTAAACTTTCTGTTTCTTCTGCCTTTTGCATAAAGTTCTGAATTTGCAAACCGATCATTTCCATCACCTTTGTAGATGAACTAAGAGCATCTCCTAACTCTCTTACATCAACATGAACTTCCGTGCCAATAGGAAGTCTCAGAGAGCAATTGCGCAAGGCATCAGTTGTACCTGACAGAGAAGTTGAGTAATCCTCTTCCAGGTTAGCCCATTCACCAAGACATGGTAATTGTGATTCAAGAATAGTGGATAAAGTTTTGATCCTTCTCAAAACCCCAAGTTCAGCGCGTTTCTGGCTTACAGATTTGCGTAGATCTGATAACTGTTGTGCAAAGGAATAAAGTTTGCTCTGGCTATCATGTCTTTGGGTGTGCATGGAGGCCTCCGCTTTGGCATTTGCAAATCGCCACTGAAGGTGATGGTTGTAGAGCAACTTCAATGAATGCACATCTCCCTGATCACTGAAACCCTTCCTTCCTTTCCTAGCATCTGCTCCCAATTTATTGGAAGTTGGATGTGGAGGCAAGCAAAGGCTCCCCATTTTGAAAGATGATCTAGAAGCAAACATGTCATTTTGTTTAAGAGATAGCCAAGAAGAGGAGTTTTCGTTATTGGCTGTTGGCAAATGCAGTGAACGAGCGCAAGTAGAAGATGCAGATTTATATGAACTGCATTCATCAACTGAACTGTCTCTATTTCTCTCCGTAAGACATCTATCAATCTCGGACATAGAAGACCTCATTGCTGATAACATCCGCGTCTTATTGTTTTGAGTGCAAAGTGGAGAACTCGGGCATGAACTTCCCTTAGTAGTAGCAGTACCAGTGGCACAAGAATCCACATAAGGACTAGTTGAAACTTTTGAAAGCTTTCTGGAGATTAATGCTCCATCATCCTGCGACACCGAACAAGGATTTATAGGTGTAGCAGTAATCTCCCGCAATAGTTTATCAGCCGCACTGATTGCTCCTCCAGGAGTATTGGTTGGACAGTGACGGTTCAAAGACTGAGGAGTGAACTTATATCTAGATGGAACAACCCTAGAAGCACCAGTCACGGTAGGTGTGTCAAGTCTTGAGGGGATCTTACTACTTTTTGACTGCAAAGCATCTGCAAGTTGTTGTTGAAGTGCTCTGGTGCCTCCATTGTCCTTGGGAACTTTAATGTGCTGCTGCTTTCTCTGAGTGCAGACTGGAGAATTCGGGCATGAAGTGCTCTCAGTAGCAACAGCACAGCCATCTACAGCATTGCTTGTTGAAACTTTCGAGAACTTTTTATGGACAATTGCTCCATCACCACAGGACACTGCACAAGGATTTATAGGAGTACCCGTAACCTCCTGCAAAAGTTTAGCAGCAGCACTGACCGATGCATATCCAGGATTACTCGTTGAACTAGAACGGAGTACAGACTGAGGAGTTTGCCTATATCTAGATGGGATAATCCTAGCAGTACCTGTCACTGAAGGGGTGTCAGGCCTGGAGGACATCTTACCACCCCTTGACTGCATAACATCTGGGAGTTGTTGTTGCTGTACTCTAGCACCTCCATTTTCCTTCGGAACATCTACAGTTTGCTGCCTTCTTTGAACAGTGGACATTACTGCTGTTTAACTGAAGCAACTTGATCCTATTGAAAAAATTGTAATCAATATATACTATAACATGAACAGATATATCAACAGATCATACATATGATGCTGTTTGCTCACAAAAATTAAGAAAAGCGAAACTACGAAATACGTCTTATTGAGATATTAACGACCAAAGCACCAAAATGTACTAAACAGCAGCAACCAAACGAAGCAGTTGATATGCAAGATGATCACCGCAGACTAATGACAAGTTGCTACATAAATGGTACATGGATTAAGGAACGCCCAAAAGTTGAAAAATGATACTACAGTTGTCAAGCTTCAACAAACTAGCCTTTAAGGCAAATTTAGATAGATAACTTTGCAATGCAACATAAATTGATTGACTTCAAATAACTAGATCTGAGATAATTAGAAAATGAAACCCTACTGCAGAAGGTATACAATTCTACTGTTTTCTTGCCTTTTCTTTCTACCCAAACAACGGCAGGGGTAAGGTCGAGTACATCCGATCCTCCCCAGACTCCACTTGTAGAATTACACAGGATATGTTGTAATTAGTACGTAATTAGCATGCCCATTACACAACAGCGGAGTCATAATCAAATCAGTAGCAAAAGAAAATGCAGATCGGCACATAGAAATCACTAAGAACAACAAATAAGAACCCTGTTCAGATACTTCTATTCTATTCTGGAGACGAAAAAAAAAAGAACTTACAGTTCAGATTTGCAGTGTATAGAAGAAGTTTCAACGATGAAATTGGTCGCCGAAGAAGAAACTCCGGAAAACTGAAAAAATTTCAGATGGAAATTGGAGTAACTGACTGTCCGTCCTTCTCCGGCGAGGTCAATGAGGAATTTTGACAAATTAAAGAAAAAAATGACAGAGAGATGATGTGAGAGAAATGAAACAGAGAAACATAAAACTGCTGCAATAAAAATAGCCGTTGAAGAGAGTAAAAAGAAGTAGCCGTTGCCGATAAATCCGACCGATAAGGCGTAAAATATTGAGCCCATGGGTCCAGGGGGCGGGCCAGCCCATATAATAAAAGGAACTTTGACTGAGATGGGCCTGTCTTAGAACCAAAAGTGTTGGGCCTAGAAAAAGGAGTCGCTTACATTTTTTGTCCCTATGTTGTTTGGTCTTTAATTTAGACCTTTATAACAAACAACTTTTTCGTAGAGCATGGTTTTCAGTAATAGTTCATGAGACCTTGAATTTCCATGTTCCAGCGTGCATTATGCCAATAGATTCCACCACCTATGGAAGTTCGTTCAAAAACTTCGTTCGAGAACTTGTATAGAGAAGGATTTTCTTTGAGGCAATAGTTCTGCCATACCAACTTAGTTGTTCGGCTCTGCTATTGACATAACAACTGGTACACCACATGATAACTTAATCCAATCCTCTCGTACTAGGGTTGGCTCCTCGCATTTCTCCCTTTAACACCATCCGTAGATAGGAACCGAATTGTCTCATGACGTTCTAAACCTAACTCACGTACCTCTTAAATCAGTGAACAATCAAATTCTTGGGACCTTCTTCAACCATAGATGTGATGAGTCGACATCGAAGTGTCAAAGGACTCCATCGATAAAAACTCTCGAGAGTCATCAACTTGTTTTTATTTTTGTATCATAATATCCTATAAATTATGTCCAAACATGACTTCAATTTCTAAAGAACAAAAATTGAAAACCAATCCATTTTAAGGACAAACATGCAACTTGAATAGTAGATACATAATTATAATCATTTCTTGGATAATAACTTGAATAGTTAATCGTAATAATTAAATTTAGTAAAGAATTAATTAAAAGTCCACAAGGGAACGATAAAACCCAAGGGATACTTTGTAAATAACTAACCATTTTAAGTTGAATGAAAGAAATGAGCAATAGGCTAGTAATTAATGTATTTGTCATGATAAATTTGGTTCATTGTATAAGAGTATGGATATTATGAACTTAATAAATAAACAAATAGATCTTCCATGCCACTTTGAAATATTAGAGTTTTATCTTATAGTTCATACAACAATAAAAGATATAAATGTAAATAATTCTTAGAGACATATATTACAAATAGTTGCCACATCCCATGACAATGATACTTCATTGTTCATCCAGCCAAAAGCCAGCTTAAACTTTACGTAATCCCACAAGTAAGGTCTGAGAAGAGTGGTGTGTGCGCAACCTTATCCTTATCTTGTGAAGGTAGAGAGACTATTCTGATAGACCCTCGGGGCTCAAGTAAATCACTCAGCTTTTATACAAAACCAAACAATTATACATATGACCATTTGATGATTATATATAGAACAAGATCAAATCAAGCAGGTGCTAAAATTAACATTAAGGTAGGTAAATCAAGATTCCCCTCAGATAACAAGGTTGAAACTGAAGTGTCTTACATATCATAAGTTAAACCTCCACCAACAACTGAAAGTCAACCCCAACCTGCTTCATGTATTTCAGCCTGTTTCGTCTCCGACAAAACATTAAAGAACGAAGGAAAGAAGGAAATAAAACAGGAACAAAGAAGAAAATAATGATAAGAGATATATCCCTCAAACGTTCCCGTGGGAATAGTATTAAGTATTAACACAGGCAGCTTACCCAGGAATACAAATAATAGATTACACACTTATACCTATCCTAAAGAAGAGAAAAAAAATGACAGTTTTTTTTTTGGTTAAGAAAAAAAAAATGATAAGTTACCTATAAATGAAGCAAACTACTACTAACCTAAGATGATTAACATTCTTTGCTGGGTCCTCCTTACAGACATGTACAACTAATTTTTCAGCATACAATTACATGGTATGTTGGGTCAACTACATGGAACAGTTAGAATAAGTGCTAACCGAAAATAGAACAAACTGAGTGGCTGGCTGCCTGCCTGCTAGAGATAACTACAGCTGTGAGTATGTATTCTCTCTAACTCCAGAAGCAATTTACAAGGAGTTCCTACATAATATGTGGCAAAAGACTCATTATTGTCATACATCAACAGCAACACCTTATATGATGATGAGCAGCGCAGCCAACAATTCAGCAATCTGGAGAGGAAATACATCAAACTGATGAGCAACTAACAAAAGAGATGTAGGGAAAAGAAGTCTATCAATCTTCCAATATCTCCAATTTGGTCTTTTGGATGGTTTTCTTCTCTGACTTACCGTAGACCTCATTCAATCAAAGGATAGCCAAATCATGATGCTGAGGTAACAGATGTTCCTGAAGTCCTTTTGCGTTTCCCAAGAAAAAGGAAAGGATTAAAGAAAGAACATTTATTTACCCCAAGAAGCCAAACTTCAGTCTTTTGCGCTTTCTTTCTCTTTGTCGAACAAAGAGGATTCTGCAGAAAATTAAGATGATAACTCTACCAGGTAAATAAAAAAGTTCCACCACAAAGTTAGTGTCACTAATAGAATAACAGATACACCACAGAATTGAATATGTGGAGTAAAGAAATAAAAGCGAAGATGATACGATGAGATTTGGTGACAAAAGAATAGAAGACATCTATCTATATCTATACTATATTAAAAGCACAAAGGTCATTTTTTATCATTTAAAAATTAATTTCACACTAGATAAAATAGTCTTTAATTATTCTCATAATATTTAGGACTTAGAAATCAACTAAATTTTGGTTATCAAATCTTTCCTTATTTGAACCATGCAAGAAGTCTTAATACTTGACACTATAAAATCGATTCAGATTCTACTTTATATAAAAAGAATCCTTATTTAAAATTATGTAACAAATTATAACTACAACTAATTGTAACATTAGGACGTTGAAGTTCGCCAGGATGTTTATTTAAAAGAAACTGTCACTGAGACTCTCGTATGTTTTATTTTTTGCACCACACAAAGCATTTGTTGATAGGAACTATTGACATATTTGTCTTTGACTTGGAAATTAGTTACTTTTAAAGGTTTAATTATTGCTTTAAGAGTCAACTTTATTTTTTTTGTCTTTACTTTGTGATGCATTTGTTATTCATGGTAGATTGCTTTAAGAGTCAACTAATTGTTGCTTCACTCTCCAATTGCATATTAGTGTGTAGTGTGAAATGTGTTCAGATCCAATGGATTAGAGATATGCTAAGTGGATGCTAAAATATGGAGAAGAGAAAGGGAATAGTTCCTTTGACACCTCTTTAAACCATAGAGAAAGAAATGAAAAGGCTTTTGTATTAGTATGAACTCTTTCATTTTTGGATAAAGTAGTGTGAACTCTTTCATTTTCTTGACACTTCTGGAGCACGTATAGTATTCCTGTATTGATGATACAATGCCCTTTGCAAAGAATCATGTTTTTGTACAAAATCTCTGCTCTTCTTGTATACAGCTCGTATGTGAGGTTCTTCCCATCAAATAATTATAATTATTAACTTCGTAAAAATCTCATCCTTATCTCTCAAAAGAATGCTGCTCGTATGTGAGGTTCTTCCCATCAAATAATTATAATTATTAACTTCGTAAAAATCTCATCCTTATCTCTCAAAAGAATGCTGCTCGTATGTGAGGTTCTTCCCATCAAATAATTATAATTATTAACTTCGTAAAAATCTCATCCTTATCTCTCAAAAGAATGCTGCTGATTCATCAGAGTGACTCAGATCCAATGTGCATTTACTTATTCTTGTTCGACTCACATGGATCCTATGTACTTTTTCCAACTCTGCTACAGAGACTACCTCTTTAGAAAAACATCAGAAACAGAGCAAGCTTACAAATTTAAACAAGAGGTATAGAATCATTAAAGGTTGATGTATGCAAGATATATATCAACACAAAATATAAAACACTATTCAGGTGACACTTAAAATTTATTTCAATTGCTTTTCACATCTCAAATAAATCATTTGATGCTTCTACTTCTTATGAAAAGACTAACAAGAGAAGCAGTATTCACCTGCTCAAAGTTGTTCACGAATGTAAGCCATCGATCTCAACATTGATCCTAGTGTATCCCTTGAAACTTGAAATTTCAATTCAGTCTCTCCAGAAGGTGTCTTAGTATCTTGAAGCTGTGACAGAAAAGGACAAAAACTATCAGTTCGCAACTTAAAGGACAGTACATCATTGCATTCAACTGACATTTATCCTCTCAATCGACAAGGTGAAATGAGATTCAAGGCTGGTCGACAATCAAGATGATCAATTTTTCTATCTAATACTTCATACGGATCTATTATCTCTTTATATTTCAGCTGTCATGAATGACACTTTAGAGAGTCATATCAGGGAATTAAATAGCAGAGCCAGGCAGAGTGTTTCATCAACATGCATGGCGTGTTTTTTTGTGTTCGTTTCCCTTTTCAGTTTGAACTGGGTGATGCCTCAAACTATCAGAGAAGTTGTTGTGAGTTGGGGCCACTGGAGAGTTGATAGGGCCATCAGGAACACCTGGAGAATGATTCCAGCATGTATTTTTTGGTGCCTATGGACAGAAAGGAATGTCGGTGTTTTGATGGAATTTCAACTCCTAACCATTCACTCAAAGCTAAATGTTTGTTCAGTCTATTTTGTTGGTCCAACCAGTCTTATGTGAATAGTTCTACTGCTTTCTTCGATTTTGTTAGCTCTTTAACTCTAGACCAGACATAGTCATGTTTAAGTCTCCTCTAGATTTTTTGAATTTGTGTCTGGCTCCCATGTCTTAACTGCTATCATTAATGGAGCTAGCATATCTACTTTTGTACTCTTTGCATCTTCTTGATGCCGGTAATGAAACAACTTACTTCATCAAAAAATATACATGGCGTGTTTTCCACCTGAATATAAAGAGATGATTATACACCACAAAAACTATACCCAGAATATGAAAGGGAAGAAGAGAGAAGGGACAGAGGCCTTTTCTTTCACGTGATAATTTTGGTATA